CCAAAATTAAGGAACTATTCTATTGCCACTAATCTAATAATTATTTGGTTTTATTTTGACTCTTTAAACTTTTCTTAAGATATAAATGTTATCTCAAAAATTATAAGATTATATAATATATACATATATTAAACTTTTGTCATGATACTAATGGTCATGTAGAGTAATAACTGATTCTAGAAAAAGGCTTTATCTAGCTTCCTGTACATGATTCCAGGTTTGAGTCTTTATCAGGTAACTAGGAGCTAAGTATTTGTACTCTGGATGTACAAATAACAAATCAGGCCCTTTAATCTTGTCAAGATCTGCTGCATGTAACATTTAATATGTTTTTCTCTGCAGTGAACTTTTTTTTTTTGGTTTTTTGAGACAGGGTTTCTCTGTGGCTTTGGAGCCTGTCCTGGAACTAGCTCTGTAGACCAGGCTGGTCTCGAACTCACAGAGATCTGCCTGCCTCTGCCTCCCGAGTGCTGGGATTAAAGGCATGTGCCACCATCGCCCGGCACCATGACCATTCCTAACAGTGACCTTTGAAGTCTCCAAAAGGAGGGTGGGACCTCCTACAATGATTCTACCTGGATGTGGTAATGCCACTAAGCTGACAAACAACACCCAAAGTTGGCTTTGGACTACAAACTTCTCAGGACAATTTTGAGGGGGCTAGCTGAGATGATCCAGCCTCACAGACTACTCTAGCCAGGACTTGAGGTAAGTCCTGCACTTTCTATTCACACAGAGACTGGGCAACAAATGATACAGCTAGCTCTTCCCAAAACTTGACAATTATTATTGTGGAACAATAGCCTTGTAACCTGTAAAGATTTGTCACTTGTAATGGTTTATTAAAACATTGGTTGGCCAGTAGCCAGGCAGGAAGTATAGGCAGGGCAACCAGAATATGGGAATCCTGGGAAGAGGAAAGGCTCAGTCTGTGGTTGTCACTTGGATACAGATTACTGATAAAAGGTACCAAGTCACTTGGCTAACACAGACAAGAATTAGGGGTTAATTTAAGATGTAATGGTGTGGAAAACCCTTCTGTCCATGTGTTACCATTATTGGTTAACGAAGAAAGAAGCTGCATTCTGCCAATGGCTTAAGAGAGTAAAGCCGGCTGAAAGAGATATGTAGAGTAGAGCTAGGTGAGGGAGAGGAACTAAACTGAATGCTGGGATAAAGAAGACTGAGTCAGAAAGAAGCCATGGAACCGCCAGAGGAGAAAGACACAAGATGCGAGCTTGAACCTTGCCAGTAGGCCATGAGCCTCATGGTAAAATTAAAATAATAGAAATGGGTTGATTTAATATGTAAGAGCTTGCTAGGAGTATGCTAGAGTCATTGGTCCAGCAGTGTTTCAAGTAATATAGTTTCCGTATGATTATTTTGGGAGTCTGAGCAGCCAGGAAACAAACAAGTAGCCTCCTACTACAATGTAAGAGTTAATTAATAAGAAGACTGAGCTAATAGGCCAACCTATTTGTAATTAATGTAGGCCTCTGTGTGTTTCTTGGGACTGAATGGCTGTGGGACCAGGCAGGACAGGAACTTCTGTCAAGAAATTATCCCAATTTTTTCAGGGACCACTAAAGATGCCATTACCTTCGGAGAGCAGGAAGTAGTTTTAAGAACATGATGCCCAGATTCTCAAGAGGTGGGGTGAGCGTTTTTTGGTAGTTCAGTGGTTATGGATGTTTGTCATCACTTAGGGGTGTTGATTACAAGCTGTCATTGGTAATGGTCAGGAAAAAAGCTGAACAAAGGAAATTAGATTCTTGTTATTAACAGAAAAAGGGGGTTACAGAAATGATAGGATAAAAAGGTAGATTATTAAATCTACTTTTAAATAAAAAAAGCAAGTACTAGTCTTAAATATTTTACATTGGTATAAATTTTTGTATATTGATAAAATGTGAGGTTATTTTTGTTATACTATATTTATTTTTATACTTTTTCTAAGATATTTTTGTATATTGATAGAAATTTAAGGTTATTTTCGTTAGAACATGTATGTTTCTATTCTTGGAAAAGGTATTGCATCTATAGAGCTCATTTAACAATGTAATGTAAATTTCTAGTCCTTAAAAGTTATTATTTCAAAATATTTAGAATAATAAAGAACTGGAGGTTAGTAGTTAGTGAGCTATTATAATCAAACTTGTAGTCATGTTAAGTATGTTTTCAAGGACAAACAGACCTATTTTATTTTATGGTGGTTTTTTTAGAGACAGGGGTTTCTCTATAGCTTTGAAGCCTTTCTTGGATCTCACTCTGTAGATCATGCCGGCCTTGAATCCACAGAGATCCACCTGCCTCTGCCTTCAGAGTACTGGGACTAAAGGTGTGTGCCATCACTGCTTGACAAGAGATCTATTTTAGATAAACAGGTAGTTTTCAAACACTTCAGAGATCTACAGAATATGGCATTTAAGATGTTTTAATAACATAGGTTCTTTTTTTTTTTATATAATAATGATGCCAGGCCTCTTTAGTCTTATTCTCCAGGGAAAGATAAGTGTACTATTTGCCCATTCAGCAGCCCCATGATGCAGGACAATCAGGCACAGACCCACAATGCAGGACAGTCAGATGTGACAGGGAATCAAGTCAAAGCAGGAACTCAGTTATTACTGTGACTGTCAGTTTATATAGGTTAAGTGACATCATGTGATGTGGGGGTACCTCCAGCCAATGAGAGACAACCAAGCCCTCCTTCTGACTGGAGGGGCGTCTACCGAGTTTTTGATGTCTCATCCTCACTCAGTAGCTTTGAGAGTATTCTTCAAACTCACACCAGGCTTTTCTCTGTCCTACAGGCCTTGAGTACAGGCCCTGAGATAATTTTGGCCTAACATCTCCTTTTTTGTTTTATATCCCACCTTCTACCCTGGTCCCCAAGCCAGAATAGCTCACCAGGGAGAGAGTGCAAGTCAGGGCCACCCCTATCTGGAGTTTTGGCCTGGATATCCTCAAATTGAGAGTTCATTTATGGGGTGAGATGTATCAAGCCTATCATAATGTACTCAAAGGGTCATGAGTTGTACCTGTTGTATCTGTTTTTTGGAATGCTTGTTTCAGCCTTTGGAGAACGCATGGGCCAAAAAGACAGATCAATAAACAAATAACCATTGACCCAATTAGGGAAGAGATGAGTGTGGTAAGTCATGGGGACCAATTAAACCAGGTCTTATAGTGGGTCCTTGACTTAAATGAATGCAAGAAGTCTTAGCTGGGGTTACCCTTGTGGATTCCTGGGAGTTTCCCTGGCACCAGGTTTCTCCCTAACCCAGAAATGCCCCACCCATCAAAACTCTCTTTTCTTACTCTCCCCATCTGTCCCATGCCCATTCTGCCTCCTGTACCAACCTACTCCCTCAAATTCTGATCACTCCATACCCCATCCCCTGCACCCAATTTACCCAGGAGTTCTCTTCTATTTCCCCTTCCCAGAGAAATCATACATCCCTTTTTGGGCCCTCCTTGTTATCTAGCCTTTCTGGGGTTGTGGATTGTCGGTTGGTGATCCTATACTTTACTCCTAATATCCATCTTTGTCTTCTTGGTCTGGGTTACCTCACTCAGAATGATTTTTTTCTAGTTTCATCCATTTGCCTGCAAATTTTATGAGTTTTTTTTACAGCTGTGTAATACTCCATTGTGTAAATTACCACATTTTCCTTATTCATTCTTCAGTTGGGAGGCATCTAGGTTTCTCCAGATTCTGGCTATTACAAATAATGCTGTTATGAACATAGGTGAACAAGTGTTTTTGTGGTATGACTGAGCATCCTTTGGGTGTATGCTTAAGATTTATATAACTGGATCTTAAGGGAGACTGAGTCCCAATTTTCTGAGAAATCACCATATTGATTTCCAAAGTGCCTGTATAAGTTTGCCCTCCAACCAGCAGTGGAGGAGTATTTTCCTTACTACACACCCTCTCCCTCATTAGTGTTTTTGATCTTAGTCATTTTGATAGGTGTAAGATGATGTCTCAGAGTGGTTTTTATTTGCATTTCCCTGATTACTAATGATGTTGAGGAATTCCTTAAGTGTCTCTCGGCCATTTGAGATTCTTCTATCGAGAATTCTCTGTTTAACTCTGTACCCCAGGTCACATGTCTTCTTCTGCAGTTACACTGGTTGCCATAGTGACTCTGACACTGATCACAGGTGTCGCAGGTGGTGGGCAGAGAGTGCTGACTGCTGTGTCTCTCCCCCATTTTCTTTCACATTTATCAATCACAAACCTCTAGCTTAATTAATCACACCTAGGAAGGTAATATTGTGCACGAGCTGCCCTTCTCCCTTCTTAGAATTTAAACCTTCCTAAATCAGTCTTTTTGTCTCTTAGTGCTCTCCAGACATCTTTCTAGCAAAGCCTCCCTGGGGTCATGAAGATGCAAGCCTTGTAACCTTGCTACCACCAGAGGATTACCGTGTGTGTGTGTGTGTGTGTGTGTGTGTGTGTGTGTGTGTGTGTGTGTATGTGTGTACTGGAAACTTTGCAGCACAGCCAAACAATAAAGAAACTGACATGAAGAAGTATGAGGTCAAAGATTCTTTTTGCCCTCAGATCCCTAGCCTTCCACTTGCTGTAGATTTCTTGCTGAACCCTGAGAGAGCTTTGGGGCTGGCCCTCAAAAAGCTCTCGTTAGATTTTAGCTGAGTTTATTTCCTGCCATCTGTTCCACCTGGGTTTGTTTGCTTATTTTTGTTCTAGAGCTTTCCAGTGTGCTATTAAGTCACTAGTCCAGTATTTCTCCAATTTTTTTGGGGGGTGGGGTTGAGACAGGGTTTCTATGTAGTTTTGGAGCCTGTCTTGAAACTCACTCTGTAGACCAGGAGGGCCTTGTACTCACAGAGATCCACCTGCCCCTGTCTCTCGAGTGCTGTGATTAAAGACATGCACCACCACTGCCCCACCCCCAAATTCTTTATCTAGACACTTAGTGCTATGAACTTTCCTTTTAACACTACTTTCTTTGTGTCCCATAGGTTTGGGTCTGTTATGCATTCATTTTCATTGAATTTTGGAAGTCTTTAATTTATCCCTTAACCCAGAGGTCATTCAGTTGAGAGTTGTCCAGTTTCCATGAGTTTGTAGGCTTTCTGTAGTTTGTGTTGTTACTGGATCCTTACTTTACCCCATGGTGATCTGATAAGATACATGGGTAATCCCAATTTTTTTTGCATCTGTTGAGATTTGCTTTGTGATCAGGTATGTGGTCAATTTTGGAGAAGGGTCCATGAGGTATTCTTTTGTGTTTGGGTGAAATGTTCTGGAGATGTCTATTAAGTCCATATGAGTCTCTGTTAAGTTTCTGTCTGGCAGAACTGTCCATTGGTGAGATTGGGGTATCAGTCTCTCACTATTAATGTGTGGGGTTTGATGTGTGATTTAAGCTTTTGTAATGTTTCTTTTACAGATGTGGGTGTCCTTGTATTTGGAGCATAAATGTTCAGAATTAAGATTTTATCTTGGTGGATTTTTTTTCCCATGATGAATATGTTGAAATCTATTTTGTTAGATACTAAGATAGCACTTGTTTCTTAGGTCCATTTGATTGGAAAATCTTTTCTCAGCCCTTTACTCTGAGATAATGTCAGTCTTTGAAGTTGAGGTATGTTTCTTGTATGCAGCAAAAGGATGGATCCTGTTTTCATATCCATTCTGTTAGCCTGTGAATTTTTATAGACAAATTAAGTCCATTAATATTAAGAGATATTCATGACTAGTGATCGTTAATTCCTGTTATTTTTATTATTATTTTGGTGGTGGTTGTTGTAGTGTGTGTGTGTTTTCCTTCTTTGAGTTTTTGTAGTGTGAGATTATTGCCTGTGTTTTTGTGAGTGTAGCTAACTTTCTTGGGTTAGTGTTTTCCTTCTGGTACTTTCTATAGGACTGGATTTGTGGATAAGTATTGTTTAAATATGGTTTTGTCATAGAATATCTTGTTTTCTCCATCTCTGGTGATTTTTGCTGGGTATGGTATTCAGGGCTGGCTTCCGTGGTCTCTTGGAGTCTACAAAATGTCTGTCCAGGACCTTCTGGGTTTTAGAATTCCTATTGAGAAGTCAGGTATAATTCTCCCTTTATTTGTTACTTGACCCTTTCCCTTCATAGCTCTTAATATTTTTTCTTTATTCTGTATGTGTATGCTTAGTGTTTTGATTATTATGTAGTGAGGGACTTTTTTTGGTCCAGTCTATTTGATATTCTGCAAGCTTCTTGTACTTTCATAGGCATGGCCTTTAGGTCTATGGTTTTGTTGAATATATTTTCTGTGCCTTTGACTGGACTTCTTCTATCCCTATTATTCTTAGGTTTGGTCTTTTCATAGTGTCCTAGATTTCCTGAATGTTTTGTGTTAAGAATTTGTTGAATTTAACATTTTCTTTGATTGATGAATCTTCTCTCTATCATATCTTCCACACCTGAGATTCTTTCTTCCATTTCTTGTATTTTGTTGGTAATGCTTAGATCTGTTGTTCACTTTTGCTTACCCAGATTTTCCATTTCCAGAATTCCATCCATTTGTTTTCTTTATTGCCTCTATTCAATCTTCAAGCCTTGAACTATTTCCTTCACTTGTTTATTTTTTTCTTGAGTTTTTTTAAAGGCATTTATTGATTTCCTCCATTTTTTTTGTCTTTTCCTCAATTTCTTTAAGGGAATTTTTCATTTCTTCTTTAAGTACCTCTATCATCTTCATAAAGTTATTTTAAGGTAATTTTCTTCTGCTTCATCTGAGTTGGGGTGTTCAAGTCTTGCTGTTGTAGGAACACAGGGTTCTGGCGGTGCCGCATTGCCCTTTATGCTGTTACATGTATTCTTACACTGCTGTTTACCCTTATGTTCTTCCAGCTGAAGTAGCTGGTGCCTCTATAGGGGCTGCTGATGTTGAGGGGATTGGTTGGCGAAGGGGAGGATGGGGTCATTGAGTTTGGGCAGCAGCGTAGGTTACAGTGTCAGGGGTGGTGGGGTAGCCTGCCTGCAGGTCTCTCACCTGTTGACTGGCTGCTGGGGACTGCTCCAGAGCAATGATCTACAAGAGTTGGGGGCAGGACCCAGTTGTTTGCTGAGGGAAGAGAAGAGGCACAGGATGTACCTACCCTGGGGCTAGAGGCCTGAAGATTGGGGTGGTTTAGGTGGGGCCCAGTCACTCACCTGTTCTTCCCATTGGAGTAAGTGGCACTTATATAGAGGATGCTGATGTTGCAATGAGTGGTTGACCAAGGGGAGGATGGTTCAGTGGGTATGGGGGTGGTGGTATAGCCTGCCTGAAGGTCTCACCTATTGGCTGGCTGCTGGGGACTCTGGATTATTTTTTTAATGAGGTCTCAAATCACCAAGGCTGGCCCTACATTCCTGTGGTATCTAAGGCTGTCCTTGAACCCCAATCCTCCTGCCTCCACTTCCCAAATGCTAGGATTAGAGGACTGCACTGCCCTCCCAACTTTATGTTACTTGTTTAGAAAAGAATACAAGAGAGAAAGTTTGCTTCAAAGACAATACTGAATTCTCAATTTGATATTGGATGAGAATTATATATAATTGCTGCCTGTTCTCACCTTAAGAATAAAGATCAATAAAGGATTATTCCTTACTACCTACCAAACAGATGACTCAGAGAATAATAGCACCTGCTGATCTTCCAGAGGACTGGAAGTGAATTACCAGCACCTACCTCAGGTGGCTCACAAACCGTGCAACTCCAGCTCCAAGGGATTCAAATCTATCTTTGGCCTCCTTGGACACTTCACTAATGACACACATGATTTAAAATTAAGTATAAAAAGATTACAAACCTCCAGAGACCAAATAAAACAGATCTCATTTAGCCCAGACTCACCTCAAACTTTCTATGTAGGCAAGGATGACCTTGAACTTCACATGTCCCTGCCTCAACTTCCCAAGTGTTGGGATTACAGGATTACAGTTCATGTAGTAATTGATCCCAGGGCTCTGTGTACTGTACATAACATATCTACCAACTGAACTGCATCCCCAGCCCAGTGGCTAATTTAAATCCAAATGTACTAAAATTCACACAGGTTTAGTTATAAGAAGAAATACAACATTAACTTTTATATGATTCCATATTGAAAGAATAACATTTGGGATACAGTGAGTTAATTTTTTGTGTCATTAAAATTTACTTAACTCAGTTTTTTTAGCTTCTAAGTTAGAAAAGTGTAAATCACACATGTGGCTAATGTTCACGATTTACATTATGTTCTAATATCTGCTCGGGGTCTTGTCTTCTGCCCATCCTGACCGGATGATTTCAAGGTCACTGAGTTGCCTAATTTTATGAAACATACTATCCATAATAACTTAAAACAGTACACTGAATAAAAGCTTGATAAGAATGCCGTTGAGTGCACATAATTTTTTACGGCTTTGCTTTATTTTTGTTGGTGATACTGGGGTTTGAACCTAGAGTCTTGCCTATGCTAGGCAACAGCTGTATCGCTAAGCTATATCCCTAGCCTATGTTCACAATTCTTTAAGGCTTTGTATATACCTTTGTTTATCATGCCAAAAAAAAAACTATGAGAAATCACAAGCCATTCTAATCACACATTACAAGGGGGGAAATTGAGGTTGTGGAATCAAAGCAATTAGCCTCAGCTCACACAAATTACAGAGACCTGCTATAAGATGTGAGCGGTTGCAAGGCTAAGGCAATAAAGATGCTGCAGTACAAGACGTTCATTTGCTTTCAAGTGTTTTTGTAAAGGTCTGATGCCCTCTGCCCTCAGCTTGCAACATCCCAACAGCTATTTCCGTGATGCTCACAAGATTGCTAATGTTCTGGAAAGTATCCGCAAGCTACGGTGTTGTCTTCTCGCCTCTGTCCCTGTGACCCTAGGGAGGCCTTCCCTGTAGAAGAGGCAGCATGGCGGTAGGGAAAGGCACAATGGAAAAGCCCTTGCATGCTGAATTCACTCACCAGGAGGGAGCAGATGACTCCTGGTCCAAGGTCCTTCCCTAGAGGATTACATTGATCTAGCACATGGGACACTGCCATGTCTTTTGTTAGGCAGGGCTGCTTCCCATGTTGACCTCAGCACTGGATGCTGCAATAGTTCAGAAAGTGCTAAGAGACTATAAGATACTCCCACGACACCCAGAGACTGTAAGATACTGCCATGACATGACACCAAGGGACTGTAAGATACTGCCATGACAAGGAGTTATGGTAAATGTTAAAATGGGGAGCAAACAAGTTCCATGGCAAAGATGGCTTCCAGCACAGACCAATGAAAGATGTGGGGGGAGGAGGCAGAGCTGGACATGGGGTCCAGGAGGTCTCATTAGGATCTCACTTTGGAGGTTTCCAGTATAAGGGTGCTCCCAACTCTACTTTAGAGAAGTCTGGCAGGTGTCATAGAGTAGGACAAATGGGAGCGAGGAACTTGGAGCAGGGGGACACTTTGATAAACATCACTGAAAAAGACACAAAGGCAGTGAACTTTTCAAATACCCAGATACCTCCCTGTTGAAGGAGGGAGGGCCTGCTTTTCATCCCAGCTGCCTGACTAGCTTAACTCCCGAAATAATCACACAGAAATTGTATTAATTAAATCACTGCCTGGTCTATTATCTCTAGCCTCTTATTGACTAACTCTCACATCTTGATTTAACCCATTTCTGTTAATCTGTATATTACCACATGACAGTGGCTTACCGGGAAAGATTCGGCATGTCTGACCTGGCAGCTCCATGGCGGCTCTCTGTCTGCCCTTCTTCCCAGCATTCAGTTCTGTCTACTCTGCCTACCTAAGTGCTGCCCTATCAAAAGGTCAAGGCAGTTTCTTTATTCAACCAATGAAAGCAACACATAGACAGAAGAACCTCCTACACCACCTCCCACTGAGGTCCAGGTCAGGACCTTCTCATTTGGCTTTTTCTGTTTGGTTTGGCTGAACCAACAGCTGCCAGGACAAGCAGATAATTGTTGCTGGAGACCCAAGACCTGAAGAAAATGGACAGAAGTGGCCTGTGCAGGGACTATGGGGAGAGCACCCTTCTACTTCCACTAGATTCTATCTAGGCAGTAGTTCTCAACCTTCCTAATGTCGTGACCCTTAAATACATACAGTTCCTCATGTTGTGGGACTCCCAACCACAAAATTATCTTTGTTGCTACTTCATAACTGTAATGTTGCTACCATTATGAATCATAATGTAAATATCTGTATTTTCCGATGATCTTAGGTGACTACCGTGAAAGCATCATTTGGTCCCCCCAAGGGGCTGCGACCCACAAGTTGAGAACTGCTGTGTTTAAGCAAGACTGGTCAGCCACCACCTGTTCTGGCCCCCACAGTGGCTTTCAACTCTCCAGACCCAGGGTCAGAGGGGTTACCGGCTACTCTTCTACTTTTATTTCTCAGACAGGGTCTCCAACTTGCTGTGTAGCTGAGGATGACCTTTTCACTCCTGCTCCTCCTGTCTCCCCAGGTGCTGGGGTTACCTCATTTGGGGGATGCTAGGAACCCAGAGATTCATGCATTCAAGGCAAGCGCCAATTGTTAGACTACCTCTATGTACTTTTCCAGAAAATATAAAGCAATATCCCTGGGGCTGTTGTTGACCCAGTGCAGGTTTTTTGGTTGTTTATTGTGTGTGTGTGTTTCAGACCCATTCACCATATGTCTAGCCAGAGCACTAGGGAAAGGAGGGCAGGTTAGGCATACTGCAGTCCTAGGCTCCTAAGAACAGAAGTGGTAGGAACAGCGTGGGCTGCAGAACAGGCAAGGAGAGAGCAGAAGACACAGAGGAGGAAGGATTTGAGGCTGTCTCTAGATTCGGACCCTTAAAAGGTTTGGACTCTGGTGTGGGACAATTGTTTGTATTCTATTAATTATATTTTAAATAAATGCTGATTGGCCAGTAGCTAGGCAGGAAGTATAGGCAGGACAACCAGACAGGAAGCAGAGGTGAGTCAATGAGAACAGAAGAATTCTGGGAAGAAGAAAGCCCATTCCTCTGCAGTCCTTGCCCAGCCACAGAAGAAGCAAGATGTGACTGCCTTGCTGAAAATGGTACTGAGCCTTTTTCAGCTCATAGACAAGACAAGAATAATGGGCTAATATAATTTATAAGAGTTAATAAGAAACCTGAGCTAATGGGCCAATCATTTTATAACTAATGTAGACCTCTGTGTGATTTCTTGGGACTAAATGGCTTGGGGACCGGGCAGAACAGAAACTCTGACAATAGGACTCTGGTGGCCACGGTTGTATATGTCTGTTATCTCAGCATTCCAGGAACTGAAGAAGTATGGAGAGTTTGAGGCTAACCTGGGCTACATAATGAGACCTGGTTTCAAAAACCTGGAAAGAAACCAGGCATGGTGGCACATGCCTTTATTCCCAACCCTAAAGAGGCAGACTGTAACGTCAGTGCTATTACGTGTACTATGGTACTCTGCCTGTAGTGTACCATGGGAGGTTAGCAAGGCAAGGGCCTGGAGATTGACATACACACAGACAGAGAGACAGAGACACAGGTCATCCTTGAATTCTCCAAGAATGCCCCTTTTATTGTGTTCCAGGGCAGCTTATATAGGGATCCTTAACTGATAGCCACGTCCCAGCCAAACCCACCAGAAACTACTCTCCAGCCATCAGGAACTCCTTAGGGTCTCATGCTCAGAGCAGCTGCAAGCATAACAAATTGTTTACAGGAAATTTAGGGTCTGGGGGGGGTCCACAGTCCCCAACAGCAGACTCATGCAGATCTCTGTGAGTTCCAGTCCAGCCAGGACTACAAAAAGAGATCCTGCCTCAAAATAAACAAATAGCAACATAAAGACACCCCCCCCAACACACACACACACACACAAAAACTGTATAGAAGGAAAAAAAGTGGGCTCTGGAAAAGACTGCAAGGGTAACACTGGGCCCTTGAGGTTTAGAAAGTGGGGGTGGGGAGGCCCCTACCGTACCTCCAGGCCTTGATATCTCCTGTGGCTCAGGCAATGTGCACCTGCAAACCACTCTGGAAGGAAAGTTGTTTAGTTAGTGCCAACCCAGGAGCCTGCCGCTGGCTGGGGAAAAGCCACTTCCCTTTCCCAGGAGAGTCGGGAAGGGATGGGACACAACCCTTTCTGATCTGAAGTCAGGCCACTCATGGTCCCTGGACACATTGGCCATCAGACATCACAACATCATCTTGAGAGTTGGCCACTGAATCTAAGCAGGGATGGACTTGGGTTTCCTTTTCTGACATTCCAGACCTCTGCTCTCTCTTGCCTCTCCCTGGGCAGGGATGTGCTCTTTAGAGAAACACTGAAAGGAAGCCAGAACTCACAAAAAAACACCCTCCTAATTGTGGCTTCTCGGGTCCTGGGTCAGTTTGTACGCAGGTGCCTGGACTTGGGCCCTTCCTAAGGTGATTTCATACCCTGAGGCAGTGACCAGAGCCAGTATGTTGGCTGAGTTTTGTCTTCTGCCTCTCAAGATGGTGTGTGTGTGGGGTCGGGGGGATCTCACCAAAGGAGCTGGATTGCCCGGTCTGTCCCACGTGGCCAGCCATGTGCGGTTCAATGACTGGCTGAAGCCTAAGCAGAAGGGACATCAGCGCCTTTCCTGAGACAAGTGGGAAGAAAGTGTCAGCCATGGCTGACCGAACTGTGACCCACGGCCCAACACAGAGCCAATTAGCAGTCACCACCATGGTGGCGGGCTTGCCACAGTTTCCACAGGAGGCCTCCATGTGCAGCTAGAGTGTCAGGCCGAGTTAGCACCAGGGAGGCTGAGTGGAGGCCAGCTGCCTGGATGGAGGGCCATGGGTGACAACACTCCCACTGGGCTGTGGGGGGCGGGGGCATGCCTCCACTAGCCAATGCCATGTGCAGGCATGTTGCTGGATGTGTGTCTGTGCACATGCTTGTCACTGAGGATTTGTGTGGCCTGGACTGCTGCCTGGGTTTGCCTTTGTGTGTCCAGCTAGTGCATTCAGTGCGTGCCAGCTATGCACGCCCGAAGGCCTAGGAGTAAGCAGTCCACAGTCCCTGTCCTTGTGGAGCTGGAAGTCCAGCGGGACAGGTGGGAAATGAACGGGGCGTCTATTGTGTTGTATAGCAATAGGTCCTATGAGGAAAGATAGATCCGGAGGCAGGGTGCAGCTTGCTCTTTGGCTGGTGTCCTCAGGGTGGGCCTTTCTGAGGAAGAGATGCAGGAGTGAGGTGGCAGCCAGTTGATTTGAAAGAGGAAAATGGCAGGTGGAGGAACAGGGCTGGAGAGAGGGGAGCTGGATGGGAGAGAAGGATGGGAACCATCGCTGCAGAGTCAGGGGGAACAGCCTTCAGTAAGAACCTACCTTCCCAGCCCTTTCTCTCGGCCCAGCCACACAGCTGGGTACACAGGGCCCTCTCTGCTTATACAGACAGCACCTGAGACAGTCTGGCTGGTACACTCAGCTATACAGACCCAACTGGGTGCCCATCAAAAGGAATCATAGCTCTCAAAACCTGGTGTGAGCCTGGAACCCCATCCAGCCTGAGGCTGACCTTGAAGCCACCTCCTTATGGCCAGAGGCAAGGATGCCCATGGAGACTGAGATGCACAGTACTCATTGGTAGGAGGTGAGGAGCAGAGCAGGCTCAGCCCAGGCTTTCACTACCACCACCCTGTGCTCAAGGGCTCTGAGCTCCAGCAGAGTCATGAAAAGTTGAACTCCATCTCCCATGACCCATAGTCCCAGACAAACAGAGAGAGAGGGGGGAGGGGGGGGGGGAGGGAGGGAGGGAGGGAGGGAGGGAGGGAGGGAGGGAGGGAGCAAGGTTTAGTGCTAGGCTGGCCCATCCCAGATGGCCTCAAAGAAAGCTCGGTGTAAGAAAGGGAAGTGGTATTGTTGTGAAAACCATGTTACATATCAAACCAGCTGCGGTCTCCTCCCTTCAACTGAAGAAGTGTGTTACACTACTTCTGGAGAGATGTGACCGAACATCCTCTCACCTCAGACAGGAACCAACAACTGACCAAAGTTATGATACCAGTGAAGTCTAACTTTGAACCAGTGGGGTTATGGGTATATGGGTGAAAGGTTAATTTAGGGATATGGCTCACTCAAGGCAGATGAGTGGCTAAAAGCAACCCCAGGGTGGGTGACAACTCACAAAACTGGAACCTTAGAACTCTGTGTGCTTTGCAGGCAGCCCTCAGTCAAGGAGTCTCCGCAGAAGCCTTACTGCTTTACACAGCCTTGCAGAGGAAGAGACTAGTCTGTTTCAGAGACTTCCTGAGACTGGCGGTTTGCTCAGTTCCTGAGTTGGAGGCTCTTAAGTGTCAGAGCTTCCCTCCAGGGTAGAATCTTTCAGTTCAGAGGATGTTGCTGCAACAAGATGGATGGCTTGGATGTCCTACGGATGTTAGGTGGGAGGCCCACAGCTATATAACTACATGGGTCCTGTGTCTGTGGGTGGACCCATACATTATGTTTGACCCAGGCCAAACTGGAACCACTCTACTAGCCCCCTGTACCTCTGCACTGTATGCCTACTCAGGCCCATTGCTGGGACCCGGCCCTGCCCACCGTGGGGACCGCTCTATGTCTGAGCTTTTCTGGGAGACTGAACCAGTATCTGAGTGTTGCTAGGTTTGTCTTTCGGCCTTCAGCCTCTGAAATCTGTAATACCTTCCTCCCCAGCTTACCCAGAGGCTCTCAAGGAATAAGCTGTGGGCTCTACCCTCTTCTGAGCGACAGATGGCCACAGCAAGTAGACACAAGGCTCAAGGAGCTTTCCCAAGATGCTACTCTGTGCTGTAGGTCAGCAGGTTTGCACCTCTCTCTCCCTCCCCTTTCCCTTCCCCCATCTTTGTCTGTCTGTCTCTCTCATGCACTGGCAGCTATGTGGGCAGCCAGGGTGGGGATCTGGCTTCCTTTGACCTCTGGCTTTGGCTCCAGAGAACTATTCCTTTGGTCTCCCACTCTGGGGGTGCAAGGCGGGTGGTGATGAGGGAGGTGAGAAGAGGATAGTAACACCTTCCAGTGCAGTGTAAATTGAATTTCCTAGGAGGTTCAACACAAAACAAAGAAGCACTTGTGTCACAGACTCTTTAAGGCTGGTGGAGTGCGGAGAACCTCCGTGATTGTGGAGTCAGAATGTTGCAGATCTGGGACCAAATTATCTTGGGCTATCTTTAGCCTCCTTAGTAGCCACTTATGGGCTACCTCTGTGTGTGACCTAGCATCCTGTGACTAGGTGACGTCCTTTCTAGAATGGAAACCAACCCTCGGCTTCCACAAACCCAAAGTCTAAGAATGCCACCAGAGAGCATCTGTCTCTAACAGATTTTGCTGGTTCTCTGTGACCCCTCACCTAATGTTTCCACCAATATGCTTTTAGAGTTTCTTGGTTTATAAGTTTCTTTGTTCTGTTACTGTAAAAACGTAATGAAACCGGCCAGTTGTTTCCTGTGCTGTGGTGACGTTGCTGCTGCAAGGAGATGATGAACTGAGAGCTTTGGTGATCTGGGGAACCACAACACGAAGGCAGTGACCTATGATGATGTGCATATCAACTTTACTGAGGAAGAGTGGAATTTGCTGGATCCTTCCCAGAAGAATCTCTACAAAGATATGTGCTGGAGACCT